ATTCCTTTCCACGTCTCGAAGGTGTTCTCGGAATCGGTCACCTAGTCTTCTGCCCGTTTCGCCGATGTATATCTTTTTGCAATAATGTCATTACGGTGGCCAATTTACCATTTCAACTTTGTTGATATATCCAAATTATTTCGTTACTCCCACCGACGCAGCCCCAAACAGTTTCTTTCGAAACTATCATCCTTTATTCATTTATTAAAGTGGTCTATACGTTATAATTCTAAAATCTGTGATTTAAACCATACAAAACACTTCGCGAACTTTTCACCGGCTGAGATTTTGATGTTCTAATTTCACCGTTGTATCGTTTATCAACAGGAAGTTGAAAGAAATGAGAAGTGCTTAATCGGCAAAATTGTGCAATGTCGTGTTTAACTCCAGTTCGCCTGTATTAATCCAAAACTATACAATTTTGGATACACTCCAAACTTTTCAGATCGAAATAAGTTGGTAACGTATTGTGGAGGCGTTCGTCTACAAGGATCTTGACTGAATACTAAGGACAGGATGACCAAAAATAACTTATGAAGTAGCGCAATTGCGGTTGAACTTTGCCTTGTGTAATCGACCAATCAGGACCTCCTATAGTATGAGAGAAGTCGTGCCGATATATTGTATTCTTGATGTATACTTTTTGCAGAGAGGAAAGTAATTTGGCGACTGGAAGTGCATCTTGTTTATCCCCTAAAATCTATAAATTATTTTATGATGCTACTATTGGCGTATTTCCTGATACTGAGAGCGATGGTAAGTAATTTTTCCCCTGTAATCAAGTCTGTTATCTAAACTTTATCTTTAATGTCGCTGTTAATGCTCAGTTGAAAAAATTCGAAAACAACGCTAAGGAACAAGGAGTCCTTTTAGCGCGCGAAGTCGACACTTTGCATTTCTTGAGTTACAAATGAATATCACCTTCTTACTATCGAGACAGTATCTCTACGGATATTTCTTTAAAATCACGGTACATGTGAGTATTAAACATGCACGTGGCAGTACGTCACAACATGGTTCTATATGGCCTAATGAAGGTTGTAGAGCTCAGAAGGAGTTTCCTCGCTCCAAAGAGAGTCTAAAAGTAAGATGGGTATTCACTGTAGTTACCGGCGGTTATTTTAATGGCGTTACAAACAAGATTCTAGTAATTTTGAAATCTTATTTAACTGTGCGCGTGCGTGCGGCGAAAAGTGCTTACAATGCACAATTTAAGGGTATGATTTCCGTTCCGGCGATGGCCCTTAAAAGCATGCATTGTTGCATGTTGACCATTTCATCAGGTGACTTTGTTTCTCCCCAGCAAAATCCGAAATTTCCAGCTTTTTCATCTCATACTGTTTGCTACGATAACATTCGTTAGCGAGAAATGGGAATAAAATATAAATAAACAAAATATCGGTCCTCGAAAAGTTGCTGATGGATGACGGCGGTAGTCTATTTTCATACCGATGATTAAAATCATCGGTTTGATTGACATCTTTAACAGCTTGATGTCTGGGTTATAAGGCATCATTGTGTATCGGCACTTCAACGCTCTAAATTATTCACCGTCTTTTCATTCAAGGGAGAAATTGTGTTTTAATTCTCTAAAATCAAAATCTTTCAAGAGACAATTTTCTTCCTCAGTTTTTAGACTTTGAATGTTTTAAACCCGCAAACTGAAAAGAAAAGCGCTCCAGGTGAAAAATCCTGAAATACGGATGATTTACATTCCTCCTCGTCTAATGTTATTTTTCAAAACTTTCAAGGCAAATTATTCTTGGATCGCTCATGTTCGTGACGCCCTGCGATGTTTTCTCCCAAATCAAGCATCCCATATCTACAGTGCTTTCACGTTATACCTGTCACCTATCAAACTTGATTAATTCGCGAAAAAAAATTTGTTGTGCATTAAAAATTCAGACCCCCCTCGTGAATAAGAAAAAAGGCGGCTTAACTTTCTATTCAGGCTAATAGCGTTAATTATTTGGTATTTGTGTATTTAAAACTTCTGATGAAATTCAGGATGGCTATTGCGTTATCAATAACGTAACAACTCCTGGCTTGAATTCTGGTTCTTTTTCCTCTCTTTTTTTGAAATTTACCTCCTCCTTTACTTCAGTTTTATCATATTTAATTAAATATTCTGGTTCTTAAATATTAAATATTCTTAAATATTATGATAACTGTTTAATATTAAATATTCTTAAATATTAAATATTAAATATTAAATATT